GGGTTTAACTTGGGCAAATGATTTAACAACCAACAGCTACAGTATCCCAGCAGTGGCACCACTGACCTTGTACATGTGTGGGTTTAACTTGGGCAAATGATTTAACAACCAACAGCTACAGTATCCCAGCAGTGGCACCACTGACCTTGTACATGTGTGGGTTTAACTTGGGCAAATGATTTAACAACCAACAGCTACAGTGTGACGGCAGTGGCACCACTGATCTTGTACGTGTGTGGGTTTAACTTGGGCAAATGATTTAACAACCAACAGCTACAGTATCCCAGCAGTGGCACCACTGATCTTGTACATGTGTGGGTTTAACTTGGGCAAATGATTTAACAACCAACAGCTACAGTATCCCAGCAGTGGCACCACTGACCTTGTACATGTGTGGGTTTAACTTGGGCAAATGATTTAACAACCAACAGCTACAGTATCCCAGCAGTGGCACCACTGATCTTGTACATGTGTGGGTTTAACTTCGGCAAATGATTTAACAACCAACAGCTACAGTATCCCAGCAGTGGCACCACTGATCTTGGTATGCGTGTACGCTGGTGGGTTTAACTTGGGCAAATGATTTAACAACCAACAGCTACAGTATCCCAGCAGTGGCACCACTGATCTTGTACATGTTTAACTTAGATTTAACATAACAGCTACAGTATGCGATTTTTGACCTTTACATGTGTGGGTTTAACTTGGGCAACTGATTTAACAACCAACAGCTACAGTATCCCAGCAGTGGCACCACTGACCTTGTACATGTGGGGGTTTAACTTGGGCAAATGATTTAACAACCAACAGCTACAGTATCATAGCAGTGGCACCACTGACCTTGTACATGTGGTGGGTTTAACTTGGGCAAATGATTTAACAACCAACAGCTACAGTGTTTCTTCCAGCAACCATCAATCAATAAATCAGAGGTGAACACACAAACCTAGTTAACAATACAAAAACTTCATTGCTTGATTTGTGATCATGACCTGATGATTACTAAAAGCATTACTCCAATATGGTGTGGATACCTTGTTGTCTGGACAGTTCATTCTCAGGGCACTATGTGATCAGACCTGCTGTTTGAGAATCTGATAAAGCAATGCATTCTTTGCTGGTTCTACTCCTCTCAGCATCCACAAATACAAATGGTTCCCCATGACACAGGAGAACTACTTAATTAGGAAGTCTAGACATGCACCTATTATATTTTATTTACATTTGTAAGGTTTTACTCAAGGAATTCAAGAAATTTGTTAGGGAATCCACACTGGCCAAATGTTTTACCACTTCCTGTTAACAGAACAAGCTCAAACTGTGCAAAACAGATTTTATCTTGGTTTAAAATACCGTATAATTCCAGAATATTCAGAACAGTTTAAAAAAATGTCCTTTTTTATATGACAAATAAGAAACTACATAGGAAACACTTTTTGTTCACTTTGGAAAGATTAAAGTTCCCTTGGAGAAAACTGTACACAAACCAAAGCACGAAATCCTTCCAATATCCATTAAAACAGTAATTATATACCGCTCCTTCAACACTTACACAAAAGGAACAATATGAAATCAATTATATTTTTTATGTGGAAACAGACAAGGGCATGATAAATCATGTGACACCCTTCTCTTTCCATAATTTCCTGTCAACGTTGAGAAATTTACTGGTGCTATTTCCTGCCCTGCCCCCTCAGTGAAGCCCTGCTATGCTTCACGGTAATAAACATCCCTACACCCTCCCCTGTCTTATGATCTGTTGGATAAAGTGGAAATATACCACCACAAAGACAGTGTCTGTAATATACATGCTGAAGTGTAACAACGTGTTTGTGATTTCAGCATGGAAGAGCCCTACTTGAGTTAAAACAACATTCATAAGTGAGAGGTTACAGCACATGCATTCAAAATGGTGCCCCATGACGGGTAACAAAAATCAATAAAATAGAGATTGTCAATCAAAGAGATTTATTCAGTTTGTTGGCAATCCGTCACAAGGGAAACATTACGCTGTTTGCCGTTAATGCATGTGTCACAAGAGATGCATTATAGATAATGACGTATTCGTGTTGTATTCCTGCAATCTTATTCCCTTACGCTAGGTTTTCTTCTGGTGGAGCAGCACATGCTTGCCTCTTTCATCAACACCTGGTGTCATCACTACAGCCAATTCATATCATTTTCATCACAATCATTTTGTGGAATTTTGTGGAATCAGATAACTGATGTTCTTTCTGCTGTTGATGTTCTATATCATACAAACAGAGAACAGAGAATTGACTGGTGACATGGTGTCACTGAAAGATGTGTGATCGTGGTTTTGTTTTAAGGAGAAGACATACTTTCATGTCTGGTGTTTGGTAAAAAGATATTAATTATCTGACCCATATTGGCCATCTTCAGGACGACTGTGTTATCTTGCTTACCTGTGGCAGACTGTATAAGTGCATGTCCATGTAATCAACTGCATGTAATCACTGATGATTTTCCCTCATAGTTTATCTCAGTCTATAATTATGGGTCATTGTAGGATTTAACGAACATTCTAAAATTCGTCCAGTTGGGAATTCAGCTAAGTTTTGTTAAAAAGTCCCCAAAGTTCTTACATTCTAAATTTCAGGGGTACTTTAACAATCCATGTTAACACGCGTTCAGGTGAGTAACATGAATTAACACTGAAGCATATTCCACCCTCCTGGTCCTGTTTTCTCAGAAAAGCCACTTTAACCAACATTCAGTTTTAACTGTATTAACAGGAATTAGTAAATCTAATTATGGGCACTTTTATGACATTTGCTGCAGTCACAGGGCTGAACATCTGAGCAGGTTAAGAAATACAATGCCTCAGTTTTGATGAGGGACTTGGTCTGTTTTAGGGATGATTCTGACCAGACAGGAGTGAGTCAGTGTGTAAGGCTTAATCTAGCAATATTTCAGCAATATCATCGCTTGGGGACACCAATATGGGGATATTGTACCTATGTGGGGAATCAAACCCAAAATAAACCCCTTTCTACGATCGCCACAAATCTCTGTCTGAGTCCAACGTCTGGTTGGGACTACTGCATGGGCTACCAGTTACCCTCCAGGACAGATTGTGTGCTGTGTCACGCTGCCATATTAATGTCACCTGTACATGATCAAGTCTGGTCCAGCAACCAGTTCACCTGGCCTGATTACCTGATCCATGTGGACAAAGGTTCCAGTGTTGTGGAGGTTGGAGTGAGTGAGTGAGTGAGATAAGATTTAAAGTCACATCGGCAGTATTTCAGCTATATTGTGAAGTGTGGACGTTGGAGATTTGTGATTCAAATAAAATATGTCATCTTGAATATGCTTATTAACACATTGTGAAATATGGATACATACATGTTCATTTGTTCTGGCTCCGGTTCATGGATCATATGTTTCAAGCACACATGGTTTTCACTTGTTTCTGTGTTGTCTGACTCAGTTGCTCTCCTCTACACACCACATGTTATACAAACAACAACAATGGGAATATTACAGAACAAAGTTTGTCCGGAAAATAAAATAAAAATGGATTGCTTTACCCTATGTATGTTCCCACAAGGCCTATCGTTATCTGGAGTCCCCACAGGTGAAAACACAGGGGTCTGGGTTTCAAATGTTTTTCTCATGGTGGTTTATCAGTACAATATGTTTGATTAACACATTATCTTGCAGCTATTCTAAACAACAGAATGAAATCCATGTCATCTATAATCTCATGTGCGTTTATTGTTTACTACAGCAATATATCAGCTTTATGACGGAGGCTTGTAAAGAATCAATTTCAAACCAGTGCTTGACATATTGAACATCGAACCTCTGCAACGGGCAATGACCCTGACCACCTGATACTGTTAGCCACCTCTGACTACAAGCATGGGTTGCTGAACACTACTTTTAACCCCAGAATTTCACATTGGTATTGATCTAATGAACCACTGGGAATGTTTTTCTTCTTCAGAATGTCACCACATGCTCTTCCACTATCTTTATTCTAAACCTGCATGTGGACTAGATCATTGGTCGTCTTCAGGTAATGTTGCTCAAATACCCCTGGGTAACAGATGCTTTATTCTTGAAGTTCAAAGTTAGCATGGTCAATACCTGTCTGGCTGAGTCAAGCTCCCCAACACAGATCCTAACACCTTCAATACCTGGGAATCCCCATGGCCTATACCTGTCTACTGATCAAGTTGTGAGAGCCTGAGAACAGTCTCATCTTAACATGTAACCCGAGGCTAAAGGCCATCAATAACATTCATAATAGTGACTTGCCCACCACAAGACAGATGTGGGAAACATAGATGTAGGATATACATGCAGACAATTCCATTATTTTGTGTTTCATCAGGATAAAAATAAGATTACAGGGAACCTGCTATCAAAATCCAGTAATAATTGTGTCGTGAGGATTGATGACAGAGCAAGAGACAAGGGAAGTATGATCGATAGATGTTCTGTTGTGTCAATTACCAAGTCCCTGCAGGATTATAAATCAGATAAGAAGGACTCTCGTAAATCACAAATAGAAACCTTACTAGTTACATGGAAGCTACAATTACACCAGAGTTCTTCTCCCTGATGTGCATCTATATCTTCTATATGTTTGTCCTGATATCACCTTGATCTTATTCATGAGAAACGACTTTCGTCACCCTCCAGGATGAGGTGAATACATATATATTCATGTAGTAAATAGCTTCCTGTCAGGGCAAGTCATAGACAATATCAACTGGAAATTAAATGAGCTTCCAAACACATTTGCTATTCTGTGCAGTTGCAAGTCCATCCTCTGGGGCTTAATAAGTCTGCTACAACTGCTGCAGGGTCGAACCCCTGTGTACACCGTACATGTTACCCCAAGTATTCACGATGGTAGACAGCAGCAACACTATACGTGTGCTACAACTGCTGCAGGGTCGAACGCCTGTGTACATCGTACATGTTACTCCAAATATTCACGATGGTAGACATTGGCAACACTATACGTCTGCTACAACTGCTGCAGGGTCGAACCCCTGTGTACATCGTCCATGTTGCTCCAAGTGTTCACGATGGTAGACATTGGCAACACTATCGTCTGCTACAACTGCTGCAGGGTTGAACCCTGTGTACATCGTACATGTTACTCCAAGTATTCACGATGGTAGACAGCGGCAACACTATACGTGTGCTACAACGGCTGCAGGGTTGAACCTGTGTACATCGTACATGTTACTCCAAGTATTCACGATGGTAGACAGCGTCAACACTATATGTCTGCTACAACTGCTGCAGGATTGAACCCATGTGTACATCGTACATGTTGCTCCAAGTATTCACGATGGTAGACATTGGCAACACTATACGTGTGCTACAACTGCTGCAGGGTTGAACCCTTGTGTACATCGTATATGTTGCTCTAAGTATTCACAATGGTAGACAGCGTCAACACTATACGTCTGCTACAACTGCTGCAGGGTCGAACCCTTGTGTACATCGTACATGTTGCTCCAAGTATTCACGATGGTAGACATTGGCAACACTATACGTCTGCTACAACTGCTGCAGGGTCGAACCCCTGTGTACATCGTACATGCTGCTTCAAGTATTCACGATGGTAGACAGCAGCAACAGTATACGTGTGCTACAACTGCTGCAGGGTTGAACCTGTGTACATCGTACATGTTGCTCCAAGTATTCACGATGGTAGACAGCGTCAACACTATACGTCTGCTACAACTGCTGCAGGGTCGAACCCTTGTGTACATCGTACATGTTGCTCCAGTATTCACGATGGTAGACATTGGCAACACTATACGTCCGCTACAACTGCTGCAGGGTCGAACCCCTGTGTACATCGTACATGTTGCTTCAAGTATTCACGATGGTAGACAGCAGCAACACTATACGTCTGCTACAACTGCTGCAGGGTTGAACCTGTGTACATCGTACATGTTGCTCCAAGTATTCACGATGGTAGACAGCGTCAACACTATACGTCTGCTACAACTGCTGCAGGGTCGAAACCTTGTGTACATCGTACATGTTGCTCCAAGTATTCACGATGGTAGACAGCGTCAACACTATACGTCTGCTACAACTGCTGCAGGGTCGAACCTGTGTACATCGTACATGTTGCTTCAAGTATTCACGATGGTAGACATTGGCAACACTATACGTGTGCTACAACTGCTGCAGGGTCGAAACCCCTGTGTACATCGTACATGTTGCTTCAAGTATTCACGATGGTAGACATTGGCAACACTATACGTGTGCTACAACTGCTGCAGGGTTGAACCTGTGTACATCGTACATGTTGCTCCAAGTATTCACGATGGTAGACATTGGCAACACTATACGTCTGCTACAACTGCTGCAGGGTCGAAACCCCTGTGTACATCGTACATGTTGCTTCAAGTATTCACGATGGTAGACATTGGCAACACTATACGCAGCAGTGCTACAACTGCTGCAGGGTTGAACCTGTGTACATCGTTACATGTTGCTCCAAGTATTCACGATGGTAGACATTGGCAACACTATACGCTGCTACAACTGCTGCAGGGTCGAACCCCTGTGTACATCGTACATGTTGCTTCAAGTATTCACGATGGTAGACAGCAGCAACACTATACGTCTGCTACAACTGCTGCAGGGTTGAACCTGTGTACATCGTACATGTTGCCCCAAGTATTCACGATGGTAGACAGCGTCAACACTATACGTCTGCTACAACTGCTGCAGGGTCGAACCCCTGTGTACATCGTACATGTTGCTCCAAGTATTCACGATGGTAGACAGCGTCAACACTATACGTCTGCTACAACTGCTGCAGGGTCGAACCCCTGTGTACATTGTACATGTTGCTCCGAGTATTCACGATGGTAGACATTGGCAACACTATACGTCTGCTACAACTGCTGCAGGGTCGAACCCCTGTGTACATCGTACATGTTGCTTCAAGTATTCACGATGGTAGACATTGGCAACACTATACGTGTGCTACAACTGCTGCAGGGTTGAACCTGTGTACATCGTACATGTTGCTCCAAGTATTCACGATGGTAGACATTGTCAACACTATACGTCTGCTACAACTGCTGCAGGGTCGAACCCTTGTGTACATCGTACATGTTGCTCCAAGTATTCACGATGGTAGACATTGGCAACACTATACGTCTGCTACAACTACTGCAGGGTCGAACCCCTGTGTACATCGTACATGTTGCTTCAAGTATTCACGATGGTAAACAGCAGCAACACTATACGTCTGCTACAACTGCTGCAGGGTTGAACCTGTGTACATCGTACATGTTGCCCCAAGTATTCACGATGGTAGACAGCGTCAACACTATACGTCTGCTACAACTGCTGCAGGGTCGAACCCCTGTGTACATCGTCCATGTTGCTCCAAGTATTCACGATGGTAGACAGCGGCAACACTATAAGACACTACCTACTGACCATACCCCACACTTCCTGTACTTCTGTCATATTAAACCTATATTTTAACTACACCTCTTGAACAATGCTCTGTTATTGCCTCATGTATACAACTCTTTGTCTTTCATCCTAATAATCTTTTGCCCCACCACTAATCAGCATCCTCACAATACACCATCTGCTTGAAAATATCAAACCATCTTTAGTTCTGTGTTATTAACACCCTAAGAATTCTTCAACTTCCTATCACAAGAAACCACATTGGATTCAAGTGATGACTCTATCAACCCCAATCTTCAAACACACCAGCTTCCCATTCCTAGCACAGCTCTTCAACCTCACTTCATCACTTTGTCAACACACCAGCTTCCCATTCCTAGCACAGCTCTTCAACCTCACTTCATCACTTTGTCAACACACCAGTTTCCCATTCCTAGCACAGCTCTACAACCTCACTTCATCACTTTGTCAACACACCAGCTTCCCATTCCTAGCACAGCTCTACAACCTCACTTCATCACTTTGTCAACACACCAGCTTCCCATTCCTAGCACAGCTCTTCAACCTCACTTCATCACTTTGTCAACACACCAGCTTCCCATTCCTAGCACAGCTCTACAACCTCACTTCATCACTTTGTCAACACACCAGCTTCCCATTCCTAGCACAGCTCTTCAACCTCACTTCATCACTCTGTCAACACACCAGCTTCCCATTCCTAGCACAGCTCTACAACCTCACTTCATCACTTTGTCAACACACTAGATTCCCATCACTAGCACAGCTCTTCAACCTCACTTCATCACTCTGTCAACACACTAGATTCCCATTCTTAGCACAGCTCTTCAACCTCACTTCATCACTCTGTCAACACACTAGATTCCCATCACTAGCACAGCTCTTCAACCTCACTTCATCACTTTGTCAACACACTAGATTCCCATCACTAGCACAGCTCTTCAACCTCACTTCATCACTTTGTCAACACACCAGCTTCCCATTCCTAGCACAGCTCTTCAACCTCACTTCATCACTTTGTCAACACACCAGTTTCCCATTCCTAGCACAGCTCTACAACCTCACTTCATCACTTTGTCAACACACCAGCTTCCCATTCCTAGCACAGCTCTACAACCTCACTTCATCACTTTGTCAACACACTAGATTCCCATCACTAGCACAGCTCTTCAACCTCACTTCATCACTCTGTCAACACACTAGATTCCCATTCTTAGCACAGCTCTTCAACCTCACTTCATCACTCTGTCAACACACTAGATTCCCATCACTAGCACAGCTCTTCAACCTCACTTCATCACTTTGTCATCACACCAGCTTCCCATCACTAGCACAGCTCTTCAACCTCACTTCATCACTCTGTCAACACACCAGCTTCCCATCACTAGCACAGCTCTTCAACCTCACTTCATCAGTTGTCAACACCAGCTTCCCATTCCTAACACAGCTCTTCAACCACACTTCATCTCCTTCCCATAACTTAAACTAGCAATCACTAGGACAGTCCTTCACCATGATTCTATTAATACCTTCTTATATCACAACATGTATATATAACTAAAGATAATCAACAGTGTAACTTTTGTCTGGTCTGAGCCATGTCCAGTATTACCATCTAGTAGTATACACACATCACACACACTCTCATACCAACACCCTGCAATTAATCCCAGTCCAGACATCAGAGCTTCCTCATTTCAAATATTAATTCTTGACCAAAGCACAGCATCATGTCCCACATTTAGTCTGTCAAACCAACACTTAAACTGATATACCCAATACTGCCCAAGAATATTTAGCAAGTCTACATTTCCACAGTTTCTGAAAATGAAGAAAGTCTCTGGGCTCCTTTTTATCACATTTTATGAATAGAATTTAGAAACTGTTTTTTTTCTGCAAAACATGATCCGAGACTAGATATCAGCCTACCCCTACATTGAACAATCTATCACCAACGATCGCATTCTTGCTCTGCAAGAGTGGACATAGATATTGAAAGGACTTAATCTGACTTCATCTGCACTCTGATTCCCAACCTCCTGTTTTGAACCTCATGTCCAATCTAGTCCAGCAGTCCATACAAGCTGTGAGACATGGGATGACAAGGTATAAATCCTCATCCTAACAACCGACACTCTCGTCACCCCAGCCATACTGTGTCCTCACCCTGCCATTGTTGCTTTCTTGTCATGTGAGATTAATTTGTCTGCATGACGCTTCAACAGATGTCTGCAGCAGGTCCTTGAGACAACTCCACCATGGCAGGCCTGTGATTCACTGTGTCCATGTCAAAGATGCAGTTCTATTAAGCTGCAGCATTGCATCATTACAATCCCCCACACACCAGACGTCCACCTCTTGTACAACACTGCTCATGTAGGAACAAGCAGAATGACCTTGTTTGTTGATCATCTCAATGATTATAAGACGTTCAGCCTCCATGGTGATGTACGATCAGATTCAGCTATCTTCAGGTTGGTTCCTTGTGTAACAAGACATGGCTGTCAGTATTTGAATGATGAACACTTCCAATGCTGGACTGTGAGAATGATGGGGTCCGCAAGGAACCAAGGCAACACAAAGTCACATGATTCAGTCATGTCAGTGAGAGAGTCCAGATGACGGATTAAAAACACTTAGGGTTTTATCATTCAGATTGAAACCTATGAAAATA